TATGATCATATACGGAAATAAGGGTCCCTGCTGTGTGAGACGTAAGATTGTATCTATTACAGACCAATCAGCGAAGGCCAAATTTCTGTCGATCTCAGATTTCATTTGCATCTACTTGTTCTTACGCTGTGCAGTATTTAGGCATGATCAATGTTAATCGACAGATCGATCAACCAGAATCTAACGCATATTAGTATATACGTCCACTTGTTCAATTACAAAGAAATTCCTTATAGAAAATCATATAGTTTTATGTATCGCACGATACCTGAACCATGGCCTATTACTGTATAATGAAACTTTTAGCTTAATAGGGGCTCGCAGCTTAACCACTAAGCAAGGAATGCTAATTCTCTTTATGTTTTAATTTTTGTTGATCAAACTTATGTTGCATTAAGCCAATATTTTAATTAATAAAAAATGCATATTGCTTTATTATATTTTTCGCATTTATTACAGATAAATCAATACTTAAAAAATATGAACAATTAGAATAAAAGTCAAATACTTTTTTACCCTTGTAAATAGTATATATTTAAATAATTATTTTAATAAAAATATTTAATCTAATAAAATATTTATTGAAAAACTCTCCTATTTCAAAATTTATTAAATTATTTACAAATGCAACAAAATATTTATGTAAATATGAAAATTATTAATTTTATAATATATATAAAACATAAGATATTTATTTAATCTAATGTTAATGAAGGACAAAGTCTCCGCATATCGCAACTTCTAATTTTATTATATAAGTTTCATATATTTAATTAAATTTTAAATTTATTTTAAAGTTTTAAATTTTTATTATTTAAATAAAGAATAATTAATAAACTTTATTTTTTAACTTTAAAGATATCAGTAATTTTTAAAAATTTTTAAAAAATATTATTTTTTTTTTTTGCAAAAATTTTACTTTTATAAGAAACCATATTATTTTTTTTTAAAAAGTCCATTTTTATTTGAAAATATATATCATAATAAAATCTATATACTTACAAATAATTTTGAGATAATTTACACTTATAATATAATTATTTAAAGGATTATTAATTCTAATTTTTATGCAAAAAGTATTTCTAAAATATCTGATTTAATTTGTATTTTGTTATTATTAAATACTAGTAATTATTATTATAAATAATTTTTTCTAGTTTTATGTTGTCTAATATGTATGTTTTTATATTTATATAAATCATTTTACTATATTTTCAGATAAAATAAATGATTTTTATTAAACTGTTTAATTGTTAATTTAGTAATATTAAGTATTAACAATGATAAAATTAGAAGTATTTTACACTATTTTCTATTTCTAAAGAATTTTTATGATATTTCAGAATTTTCATATGGATTATACAATAAATTGAATGCAATTATCAATGTTTTAAAAATCAAAATTTTGATAATTTGTAATAAAGGTTTTTATAATTATTATGAAGGTTTTTATAGTAGTTGAAAAATAATTAAAACAACTTCTAATATTAATTCTATAGCTTGATTAAACAATTTTGAATCTAATATTAATCTAACCACTTGACAACTATATAATTAAATTAAAGTATTTTATTATTAAATTTTGATTTATTTAATTTTAATTTGAAGTAATAGTCAAATTAAAATATTATTTATTTTGATCTCTAATTTATTTTAATTTAAATTAGAATTATTATCAATTTGTAAATACTAATCAATTTTATAAAAAAGCAATAAAATTATTCAAAATTTCTTAAAATTAAATTTTATTTTAAATAAATTCTTAACTTAAAAATAAAATATTAAAAATTTATTATAAAAAATTCTGTATAAAAATTAATAATTTAATTTTTTAAGATTTGCATTTGATATTATATAAAAAATAATTTTAAAAATAAAACAATACGCATATAATAATAACTTAATTGGCTAGCTAGAAATCTTATTATCAATAAATGTAAAGATAGTTAATTTTACATTAAAAGGTTGAAATTGTTTCTAATATTTATTAAATCGGAGAGGAGTATTTTGAAATAATTCAAGTATTAGTATGAAAGAAAATTTTACTAGAATTTTCTGCGTCATGTGAAATTAAGTGCCCAGATATTTAATAAGTAACTTCTCAAAGTCTATATTTAAAAAAGGTATATTTTTAAAAAAAAATTATTGCAACGAGTTACTGCAAATATTTTTTTATATAAATATAAATTTTAATAACGTTTTTGGTGATATTTTTACGAGTTAGAAACTGCATAAGCAGATTTTTTCTTTTTTTTTTTTATTAAAAAATAAATTTAATTCTCCTGCAACTGGTTGATAGAAACCAAGTCGTTACCAAATCCGTTAGGTTGTTAGTTTCGTCTGTCGTTCAATTTTAATTAAGGATAGAAAGAATAAATCGTCTTTTCATTTACAAGAATCTTGGCTGTGACAATATTGAAAATTAGGTTCAATTGGTATTTTAATTAATATAAAATTTTTTATAGTTCTTTATGTATTAAATCATATTTAACGAAGAAAATGATTCAGGATTTTAACGTAACCATTGTAATAATCGTTCACTAAATTTACACATTTATTTATATTTTAAATATTAAATGTATATAAAAATTGTAAATTATTTATCTAAATATAGTATATTATATGTTTATTACAAGTGTAAATAACGTTTATTATTTGTAATATACAATTCATTAGGAGATTTCATTTCATCGAAAAATTCCTTATATGCGCAGGTGTTATTTGGGCAAATTCATGACAAACATAATAATCGTTTGAGGACATAATCGAAATTTCATATGAAATAATCACATAACTTTTTTTTTTGTTTATTATGTTACGTAATCCCAAAATCATCCCTCTAATCACACCACCCGCTATAATTTATAAAGTTACACACTCATAAAGAAGGACTAGACTACATGGTGCAAATCGACCCCTATCCGAAGACATGGGGACAGAGTCAGCCTATAACCATCGCCCCCCTCCACAAGAGGGAGTCTAAACACCCACAAAAGTGAATGCAAACTGAGGAATCATCAAATGAATTCTATCCTTATTTATATTAAAAAAATGAAAATTTTGAAATTATGGGATTCAAAGATCTTCATAGTATACACTATTTATGGAAATATATGGATGATCATCTATTAAATCACATTACAGGACAAACGTAATTTTTATCGCTATTTTTAACTTTGTCATTTTTTCTTCAAAATTCTCACGTACAAATCAAATTACTCGTTTATGACAACGACCAAACCTATAAATATTTATTATTCCAATGATATAAAAAGAAAGGAAGAAGAGATCGGTGACTTGCAAGTCGAAATTCAAAATTTTCAAAAATTTATTAAAGAAGCCAGAGAAAAGTTTATGATGAATTAAACAAATAATGTGAACAAAATAATTTATTAAAATGGTTCGATGTCTATACTGAACAAATAAAGAACCTCGAAAAAAAAGAATTACATTTACTTCATTTGAAATTCTATACAACTTCTTCAAACACACGCAACCGTCACACCCACAACAAATAATTCACTTTCGCGACCCTCACAACCACAACAAATATATTCACCTTCACAACCATCACAGCCCTGGGGAAAAAAAGGGAGAACTAATTAAAAAATGATGATCGAACCGTTATTATTGAATTGATCGTAAATCAATTACACAACCGAAAATTTCTTTTTTTGCTTTATATATCAAAATTTTTATTTTTTTAATTGTTTTGTAAATGTTATATATAAAACTACAAATAAAAATGACAAATTAAATCAAAAAAATAAAAAAATAAATAAAATGAACGTGCAAATAGTCTGGTCGGAACGTATAAACTCGAATAAATGTAATATAACGAAACTTAATATAAATAATTCTCAATAATATCATCCAAGAATAAAGTCAAACGAATTCTTAGTTCACAGCTTGCTAGATTCGCATTAAATTTTGCGATTCACCGTACATGAAAAAAAAATAGAATATTTAAGAATCAATGTTGGAATTCAACCAAACAGTAAAAATAAAAAATAAAAACAAGAAATTTCTTTACCATAATTATTTTACATGCGCTCGGAAATAATACAAATTAACGACAGTGATGCAGTTTGATTCCTCGCATCAACTGAAGAAAGTATTGCAATCCCATTATGTTCCTCGTCAAAATTGATGCCAGGCCTTTTAAACGATTTGGACGCAATTTATTCATTGCTTGCAACCTCGTTTGGTTCTTCGTGCAAGAGAGAGGAACTTTTTCACGAAAAAAAGAGAATAAAAAAAACCGGCATTCCCATAGAATAGAAAGAGGGCTTTCAATACATTAAGTACGTTATTTAGTCATCTCCAAACAAGGGAAAGATTGTAGAAAAAAGAAATACCAGCATTCCCGCCGGTTTGCTTATGACAGACGAGAAGAAGGAATAGGACTTGAAGTTTGAGGTGTAGAATTAATAAAACCTTTCCAAGATATAAATAAGGCTTGTCAATGAAAACAAATTTATATATTTATTTTTGAGTTTGTAAATGTTACGTTATTTTCATTTCTGATCTACACTATGATAACGTGATTCATTTTCACTTGTAGCTTTGACCCGAATTCAATTGGTCGAATTATCACGAACCATCAAAGTATTTATTGGCTGTATCATTTTCTTGTAATATTCGATTATATGTTAAAGTGGCAGGGACTTTAATCATGAAACATCGAAAAATTATCAAGTATTTATAGATATCATTCTTCATTAATGATCGTTTCCACGATACCTCAAATATTCGTTAATCCTGATGCCTAATTGCATTGCGCAGGAGGTTTGTTCAAAATTTCGCAAGTTTGTTATATTTTAATAATCTAATAAAACATTATGAAATTTTCAATTACTGATAAATTAAATTCTAATTGATTCTCGGAAATTTTAATAATTTATAGACAATGTAATTTTTTAATTTTTTTTTTTTAAAGAATGTCCATATATCAAATAAAAAATATATTACATAATACCACAGAACAAGTACTTCGCTTTCTAAACTATTATCTTCACTTTAAAACTCTTTGTATCCTCACCAATATTTATTTTACTATCATCACTTTCGTTAAATGTATCAGCAGCAGCAATATTTTTAACACTAGCACTAAACAATCCATTGCTCAATTCTTCTTTAGAACTTTTCACTTCAGTCTAACTAATACTCTCATTTTCTTCAACATAATGCTCTTCTCTGGAATTGATTACTTGGAAAACCTCATATTCATGATAAGGTACTACCACTATTAGGAGGTAAAATCTTCTTTTCGTAGTATTGTTGAGTACAACTACCGCTAAACCACTAAAGATCATGACCGAATCCAATATTGTTCAATTTACATGACAAATTTCGAATCGCATATCGAGAATTTTGTACCCTACTTAAAATATATTAATCTTGTTCACAAGTATCTGAATTTGCGAACGAAAAGATGAATGAATCGCTTGTCTGCAGATATGCATCCGATGAACACCAGCTCAAAGGATTATATCCTCCGATCATGGAAACACTGGAATTAGAACGAACATTAGAAAATACTTGTAGAAATACTAAGGACACTATCACTACAATCCTCATTGACATCTTCATCATTAAATACTATCGCAACTATAAAAATCATCATGATTACCGCAAATGTTATTATCTTCGATAACAAGCACAATAACTTATAACAAAGGTTGGACCTTTGTTGTCGCATATGTCATGAAATGTTTTAATGTCCATACCATCTCTACTCCCTCCCAACAACAATTGAAAAACAACTTTATCTCTGTTCTTTAGACCGTTCTCGCCCTTGTTTATCCACACGTTACCGGCATGTTTGGACGTTACGTATAAAGAATCAATCTGATGTTTGGGTAAACGCAACAATAAATTGTAACTAATACCCAAAGGTGGTAATTCAGTATTTAGCATCACATGAAATTGAGTTAATTGAGCCTTCAATTTCTTTGGTAAAATTTTCTTAAAAAGCCAAACAAATTCGTATAATTTATCACCTGGTATTTGAAACAAGATAACATAAGGAAGAAAGTCTTTTAGTCGATTCTCCAACTTCATAAAATCCTTTTTTGTCCATGAATCTGCATCACCGGATATTGATTTATCGCCCATTGTAACAAATATTTTCATATATCAACTTCGCTCAAATCCAAATCATCACGCTTAATAATCGTTAACAATGAACACCTTCCTAGGACGGTGTGCCAAATAACTGTAATGGATTTTCACAAATTAATCGACTACAGTGGTTGCCTTAATAATGAAAAGGTTGTCGAATGTGTGGTGGTAACATGAAATATGTGTCGTGTAACCATGATTGTTCGTTTTTGATTATGTGATTGAATATATTTTACCAAATCAGTTAAAGACAGTTCGTTGGTTGATAACAACAACGGTATATTGCATGTCCGATTCTTTCAAACTGCAAATCCCAGTATAAATGTACCTTTTTTTGATACGAACAAGTTGAAAGAAAAAAACGTTTTATAAACGCCATATCACTAAAGAAAAAAGAAAAGGAAAAGGAAAAGGAAAAGGAAAAGGAAAAGGAAAAGGAAAAGGAAAAGGAAAAGGAAAAGAAAAAGAAAAAGAAAAAGAAATCTATTAATTCACATTACACGACTACAACTTGCTCAAGTAGTAATTAGGGTTGGTAAAGTCCTAAAAAGTTCTAATTGGTCTTAATGAATTTATTTTAATTTAAAATACAAAATTCTTTAAAAATTAGAAATATACTGAATTTAGGACCTGGTGAGTCCTAAATCTAATATTTTAAATATATTTTAAATTTTAAAAAGAAATTTAAACTTAGTTTAATAAGTAACTTTAATTAAAAAATTAATTAAAATGATGATATATAAAAAATATTAATCTTTAAAACTAATAATTTTTTATAAAATTAATCAGGACTTTTTAGGACTTTTCCAACCCTGGTAGTAATCAAATACATCTGGATTTATACTTTGTTTTTCGAATGAGAACCATTCACCATCTTTTTTTATTTGATCGTTAGAAAATAGATTTTGAAAATATGAAGAGTTTGCACGAATGTGCCTTAAACGTTTCTTTTTCGATAGATTCGTCTTCTCCCCATCCGACCGTAAGTTGCACATTATACATTCGCTTCATAATAATACAATTTACCGATATCTCTTAATAACCCTGCCGTTATTCCATTGTAAATTTGTGGATGAAGGAGATTCAAAATTTTATGATTCGAGGAGAAAATATTTTTGAGGAAGGAACGGGCTTCGATATTTTTCTTTATATGAGGTGATCCATTGATTAATTTGATTGGCTGGTTTACATATGTTCTTTTTTTAATCTGAAGAAAATCATTTTAAACATCACGTGATGAATGTGTCGTATATATATTGACTTTTAAATATGCAACTACAAAAAAAAGTCTTAATTTACATAAAATATACTTTAAAATTTCTGCGTTCAAAGAATTCATGGAGATTAAAGATTATTTTTCCGATCATTTTTAAAATTAAATTGATTCATGCACTGCGCCTCCAATCTGCGAACCCACTACTGTATATTAAAAAAAATTTTTTATTTTGGTAATATTATTAAATTAGTAGGTATTTCTTTGGTTTTTTTTTTTTTTTTTTTTTTTTTTTTTATAAAAAAAATTAAACCGTCGTGTTAGTAATTTAAGTTGACCAAATATAAAACATTTATTATTTTTTTATAAATGCATTAATTTATATATATATATTTTATAAAATAAAATAAAAAAATAAATAAAAGTGAAAATTTTTCCTTTCGATTTATCAGTTCATCTCTTTAACATCATCTACATGGAATTCAACGTCAAATTGTTGATCTAATCCTAGATAACCATCACTAATAAGGAATATCGTGTATCGATAATTTCCTCCGTTCTCTGGTGTGATCAGCTTCAATTTGAAGGTTTGCAAATTAGAAAATTCTCCAAAAGGTCCATTACGCATATTAACCCTTTTCATATCGATTATGCTATCAGTTGATTTATCTCCAAATACCAACCACCATGATTCATATTGTGGTTTTGGAAATCTAGGCGCATAAACTTTACCGTCATATCCTGATATATTCTTTACCCTTTTCAATGAAACCAATAACGTGCGCTCATCATTTGGAGCCATCGAGTCACTAGCATGTTTAATATGACAGCCAACATCTATCATAGGAATGTTGTTGACGACTTTACAAATCTATGAAGCAACAATTTAATTAAATTTATTTGATTTGATCTCATGTAATGACGCAACGTTATTTCTATATCAAACAAACGAAACGTACCTTTTCTACATCAGGCTCGGAAAGTCTGCTAACATTTTTGAAAATCTTAGACAACTCCTCTTCTGAAAGATCCAATAATTCGCCTAGGAATTTGACGACATGTCCCTAAAACATTTAAAGTATTTAAAAATTATCACATCAATATAGAAGAATAAATAAGAAAGTTGCATTCAATAAATAGTACCTCGTGAAGAATTGAACCAATCATATGATCTTCAATTCCGGGAAGATTCAGCAATGATGAACTCTCAGGCCAACATGACTGTTTAATGCATTGTGATAATGACATCGTATGAAGACATGTTTTTAACATGTTATTTTCGACAGTTATATCAATAATTGACTAATAACAGAGAAAAAAAAGAATTAGAAATGTATTGTGTACAAAGTTAATTCTGATATTCAATCTTACCTGTAAAATACGAATTGCTTGATCTAAAATCGACAGTGTGTCTGTAACATAATCAACGATTGGCAATTTGGTCCTTATAAGATGAGCCTGCAAAAGCAAAAATGCTTTCGCGTGTGGACTATCATATGGAAGATGAGATTGAACAGACCAAGGAAGTTCCTTTTCTAAATCTTGATTTTGGAGATCTTCATTATGTCGAACCGGAAGTTCAGAATATTCGTCTGAATTACATAATATTCCTAAAATATCTCGGATAGTTGAATCATTTTTAATATGGTCTCGAATGAGTCTGACCGTTTTATGTGAAAGATAATAATATGATGCGATCTTGCCAAGGGAAGTCGGTTCCACATTAAAATCATCATCCATTTCAATACAACCAGAGAGACTTAGCTGTTGCATAGACTTTTCAAACAACTTTGATAGATAATCGTCAATAGTTTTAGGATAGGCATCTTTTAATTCATAATAAGCTGGATTTTGTTGTAATCTACGATATAAATAAGTGTAAGAAAGATATATCATGGCCTCTTTTCTAGACTTTATAGTACCAGCGACTATTTCGGCATTGAAATGATACTCAAGCTGAATATGTAAGCTGGACTCTATCGGGAAAGGTTCATACAAAATTTTTTTATAAAAATTCTTTTTTGAATTCTGTACAAATATACAAGCAACACCACTATCATCGAATTGTGGACGACCTGATTAATTCAAAAAGAAGAAATTGTATTAAAATCATATAAACTGAAGCTCATTAACATAAAATTAATCGAATTATGAAGTGATGGAATGTTGAAAGATAATAATTACGTGTAACGTTACTTACCAGCTCTACCTATCATTTGGAGTACATCAGTAATAGGAAAATCTATATATCCTTTAGACTTGGCATCATAGAATTCGGTTCCTTTGATTACAACCAAATGAGCAGGTAAATTCACACCCCAAGCCAAAGTGCTAGTTGCAACTAAAACTTGAATTTTTTGTTGTAGAAATAATAATTCAACTATCTTCCGATCACTTTCAGTTAATCCAGCATGGTGCAGTCCAATGCCAAAAATAAGAGTTCTTTTCATGCTACTATCCTTGATTTGAGATTGAATGATTTGTAATTCTTCTTCAGTCATTCTCAAAAAATGATGAGGATTCTCAGTCAAGCAACAATACGCAATCAAATCCTGAGCTGTCAGACGTGTTTGACGTCGTGATGACACAAACACAATTACAGGCTTTATAGGAGAATGTCTCATAATATTAATAAAGGTCGGTTTATTCATAGTAGCCATACGAGGACAATAATGTCTTTCAGAAAATCCTTCGATATGAATGTCTAATGGAACAGGACGTACTGAATGACTAAAATTGAACAGTCCACCCTCATCAATACACAACCAGTCTGCTAAATCCTGAGCATTTGCTAAAGCTGTTGATAACCCAACAATGCGAACTTTGTTTTCGTTTTGAGAACTGATGTAATTCATTCGTGATAAAATAACCTCTAGTATAGGTCCTCTATCACCACCGAGTAAATGAATTTCGTCAATAATCACAAGTGATACGGTTTGAACATAACTACTATGTTGCCAACTACGACTTATACCATCCCACTTTTCAGGTGTTGTAATAATGATATCGGCATTTTCAATAGAACGCAAGTCAGGGGTAACATCTCCTGTCAACTCTACAAGTCGTTTTTTCATTGGACCGGTTAATCTAGCTTGCCAATCATCTACACGCTCGCGAACTAAAACTTTTAATGGAGCGATGTAAACTACCTTGGAACGTGGATGTTCACGAAATGCCCACCTTAAAAAGCCAGACATAATATTTAATTTTTCACGCGTAAAATGTATGATGTTGAAAATAGGGTACAATTCATTCACTCACCACATTGCTAATTCAGCAGTAACCGTTTTTCCTGATCCCGTGGGCGCGCAAATCAATACATTGGATGAAGAATTATAAAGCGTGTCAAACACCTGAGTCTGTACAGGATTGAAATGAGTAAATCTCTTAGAACATATCTCTTCAAGTGATTTGTTTTTAAGAGCAGTTACAGGTATTGGAGGTAAACTCAACAATTCTGTATGTTGATGATAATTTTCAGGAAAAACTAGATGGTTTAACGAAACTGGAAGAAATGCCTCAGCTCCTATCCACCTATTTGATATGACACGAATATATAATTGAGGAGGTAATTCTTGGATTGGAATTGCGAACCTAATCTTTTGAGTTTCTTCAAGTTGCTTCCTATTTAATATAAAAAATTCTGAATGATATAACTCGATATTTTCAGAATCCTCGACGAATATCCACCATGGTTCTACAACACCGTGAATACGATCATTCCAAACGAAATCAGGAGTAATACTAAGAGTTACTCGTAAATATTACGTGTATTAGGTGCAACTTGTGCTTCCAACTTTAGCATTGGAAACATGTCTAAATATTTAGAAATATAAGCGCCCATGCTATTCTTCACTAATTGTCCAAGTTCAGCCGAGGACATATCTCTCATGTCCACTAATGAGGAGGTGTGTTGATTATTTTGAAGCTTCATTATAATTTCTCGAGGCATTTTAAATTGAGCCAGAGGATTCTCAAACGTCCACATACGCTTGTCAATACATTTACATAATTCTAATAAAGTGGACGAAACTTGAGCCCAGTTACGATTCCAAGCAATTTCAAATAAAGCTCGGACTATGCGACTTGTATTCTGTACTACAAATGCTGAATCAGATATTAAGGCAAATTCTTCAACATTGGCATTTGATAGGTGCTTGTAAGAGAATATTGACTTTTCCAGCAGAACCATCGGTATTTTGCTATTTGTATTATAATAAATCGATAGTTTAGACTGTATGCATGTGTTGATCAACTGATCTTTTTTTAACTATGATGATGGCAAAAAAATTTAAATTTGAAAAAAAATGTTATTAATTTCTTTTGAAAAGTCTTTCGTCACCGGGATATTAATACGATCTTAATTTGACAAGGACAAGGATTTTCCTTAAGCCTTTCAAGTTTTTTACCTCCTCTTCTCTTGATTTCAAATCTGCAAATTCGCTGCTTTGACTTATTATTGATAGAATATTGGCTACTTTGAGTTTATCATTAAAGATATCCATGCTTTTGTATGCTACATAATAATTGGAAGCGATGCGACCAATATCTTGGATTTCGAAATAATCAGTGTCATCGTAGAACTTGACTTAATCATTCCAATTTATGAAGTGTACTTTTGCAGCCTTGACAATAAGTTTGCGTCGTAGTTTACCTAACTTAGGTTCATTTTCTCGTTCCGAATAATTCATTCCATATACAAGTAGGTTCATGTATAACCCAGCCATCGAACTTTTCATCAACATTTGTCACAGTGCCGAGTGAAATCTCTGCATTCAAATTGTCAACCATAATAACCAAAAATAAATTATAACATAATACAAGCTAAGAGTCATTGCAGACACGTAGTGTGATAGTTTGTCATGTGTTGTCAAAATATAGCCAACGCCATGTGTTTCATACTAATTTATTAGATGTAAAAAAAATATATTATTAAAATTAAAAAACCGTGTGGCTCTACCAATGATAAGGAAAAAATTTTTTAGTAATTTAACTATGATATAAATAGTTTAATCACTATTTGGAAGGTAATAATATATATACCTTTATAAATCCTTCGGAAAACAAACGCACTGTCATTGATCGATCAGCTTCTAACATGAACACCAAGACCATATTGTAACAATTCTTTTAAATCTTTATTACTTGATTCCATAAATTCTTGCATTTTAAGACTATAACCTTTGGGAGTAGACACGTCAAATAAATCTAATATTTTATTAAGACATTTAAAGCTTGAAATGATTTTCTTTTTTAACAAGTTATTAACTGAATGTCCATCATAGGATGTATAACGTCGATTAAACCTAATATATCGTAAACATAAATACCCTAAAAACCGAGCTTACATCGATATAATTGGGTATAGTAGCGGAAAGGCCTACAATTAAAGATGATAATTGGTCCTACGCGTCTGTCTTGGTCTTTGTATCATCAGTCTTACACAAAGACGGAACGGACTGCGGTTTTAATTTATAAAGACCGATCGGAAAGACCGTCAGTCTTGTAATTCAGTCTTTTATAAAAAAAAAAAAATATTTTAACATATTACAACAATAAATTAAAATGGTACTAATATATCTTTATTTAAAATTTTCGAAAGAAATTATTATTTCAATCTTTAAACAACTAATTTTAACCTATTCAACCTTTTTTTGCCCCAACCACGATTTTAAACATAAACATGCTCGAGCTGTATCTGGATGCAAACGGTTTCTTGTTTGAGTTATTTGCTTTCCAGCAATTGAAAAAAACTGCTCACAAGGAACAGAAGTTGACAATATAGACAAATAGTCCCGAGCAGATAATCCATATTTTCAACCGAATAAAAGTACCTTTCCCACTACCTATTTTTAATATCCAAACACATAATGTACATAATGTGTACATCTATCCAAACGTCTTTATAAGCGGTACTGAATCTTGAATAAAGTTATCAATACGCTTGTTCCACCTGGTTCATTTATTAAAATCTTGCTGAAAATCTTCGTAAACAGATCAAAATCCATGTTTAAGATCACGTATTTGTTTTACATATTCATTTAAATTGACATTGAAGTTTCAAACAGAAAAAAGAACAATTGAATAAATATTAAGAATACCCAAATGTTTGCGTGGAACGATGCAAGCTTTTTTTTGTGAGAAATTTTTTAAGTAATTTATTAAAAAGTTAATTAGTCACACGAATGGAAGTTTTGTAAATCCCTTCCTTAACGCCATGGCGTCAAATATTAACAAAATATATAAATTCTATATATTAATCATAAATTAAATTTTTTTTTTGTAATTAAATTAATTTTATCTATTTTATAAAATCATTAATTTTATTTTATTTAATAAAATTTTGTAAAATTGACGGCTTTCTTTAAAATTACGGTTTATAATTATAAATGAACGTTTACCAATAACTAAATAATTTGAATGTATTTTGTCATAATGTCTGTAGAATAATTTTGTAAATATTATATTAAAAAAAAATTGTATTATTATATTAATATGCCTCAATCTTCGTCTTCAATTGTTGGTGATTACGAAATTTCATATTCAAAATTCTAATATTTTGAAAGAAATTTTTGAGAAACGTTGTTAAAATTATAAAAGCTTTTTATGTCACAACAAAAAAAATTGAAATTTCTAATTTACCTTGTTATCTAAATTAATTCCATGTAATATTTATGCACTTGATTCGCTATTATAATTCTTTAAAGCTCTTTCGTCTTAACTGCCAATATCCTAAAATCTAAAATCATATTATTGTGAACTAACTAATTGAAAGTATGATAAATATGTAAAGACTTTAAAATTGTCTGTAAGTAAATTTCAAGCTATGAATAACACCACAAAGTTCAATGGTTAATTATAATATATAATAACAATTGACAAGAGATCACTATTAATGAAAAGGAATTTGAAATTGAAATCGATGTAGTTGATGACTTTATCGGATTGTCAGCTAAAGTATATCCGATTGAATTTAGTGCCTTCAGCAATTTCGGTCCGATAGCGGTTCCAGTACGGTTTCCAGTTTTTTTGATTAAGTCGTTCATTGATATACCAGCAACACTATTATATATCATCAAGAAATCCGAATCACGAGAATACTTATTATAGTCAACATGAACAATACTTGAGCCTGTTGCATATGTTCCTAAACTCGTCTCTAATATTAATCCATCATTAATTTTCGTGGTTCCTTTTGGCATAAATATTAAAGAATTTTTTACCATGCTTAATGATAACATCTTCTTTGCCGCTTCATATTGTGGTGAATTCCGGAATTCATCATTAAAACTTGATAAATGAGTAAATAACTTGTTTTTACCAGAGAATTGATTTAATTCATTGGCTAACATGGATAATTTTTCTTGTTTACCGTCATTGTTAATCATGATAAATTTATCAAATATGGTTTCATAAAATCCCGTGAATTCAAATGATCCAAATGGTAAATTAGACGTTGCGTTAGAACCTGAACTAAATATAGGAGTTAAACCGCTAGTTGGACTTTGCAATTGTTCGTCAAGGTAATTCTTCCAACTTGAAAAAAATCCCAAACCATGAATGAGTTCATGTAAAACGGTATTTAAGATATCATTTTGATCTGGTCTTATGGAACCTTCATCATCAGGAAAGTACCAATCTTTTAATGAATTAAATTGAGCTATGATATCTGAACTTGCGAATTTCACTATTGGAATTTGTAATCCTAATTGTTTTACTAAGGCTTGAGGATATAATCTTTCCGTATTATCTTCATCATCCGGTATTGAAATTAATCTTGATGCTGCCGCTCCTCCTAATACTTTTGGATTCCCCAATGGGCGAAATATGGCATTAACGATAATAGGCGTATTAAGCACAAGTGCGTAATTAATGATTTCTCCTGCCAACTTGAATGTATTTTCAACTTTATTGCATTTTACTTGATCATTTAATTGACAATCAAGATTCACTTGAATCAGATTACTATCGTCGCTTAATAAAATGTTTTTGTCGAAAATTTTATCATCATGCTTTAGAGCGCAGTCAACCATGGTTAATTCACCTAAATTCATTGGGTCATGGAAATCCATACATATTGAATACGTTTGATATGAAAAAAAAGAAAATGCGATGGTAGTGATTAAAAACAAAGTCGATAAATATCTCATAATTTTTTTCTTTTTTTATTTTGTAGAAAAAAAGGTATTTTTTTTATTTCTCTTAAAATTTCATTGACACTTATAAATGTTGCAAATTAAGACCTGTTTATTTCAAGGACGATTGACAATTAATAATATTTAGTATGAATCAAATTAACCATATAAAGTAAACTATCGAATTAGCTAAATTGTGATCAACCATTATCCTTATTCTAATAAAATAATCACGTTTAAAATTAATAATAATTAATTAAATGATGTTGAATTCCTATTCATGACGGGGGTTTTTTTACATATCTAACAAAACTTACCATGTTCATTACTGTATAATATTACGTACTATAATAATTCAAATACATAGAAAATTTGCCATTGGATTAACAAAATAGACAAACAATGAAAATCATGACGAAAATCCCATTTTTACTAGATACAAGTAATTTTATTAGGTTTGTTTTGATATACCGAAATTACTATTTTTATTTTAAGTTAAAATTCAAACCATTATAACATTCGTATTATGTTATGTATAACTCAGCATATGAATATGTTTTAAACATCTTGTTTTTAACTTGAAATAATTAGAAATCACTTGACAAATAAATAAATGGTACTCCATAAATTGATCATCACGGATTAGCCCCCAATATTTTCTTTTTCAATTTTGAAACATAATTTATATTCAACTCAACTCCATTATTAATTTATAAAATTTCGACAAATTAGATATAACGGAATTTTTTGAATTAATAAGGTATGAGCTATTCCGTTCAAATATATCGAATTTCAATAAATTAAAAATGAATAAGAAAATTTTCAAGAAAATTTTGAAGGTTTCATTCAAATTGTTGATACTTAATACCACATGTAATATAAACAAATGAAAATGCACCTTCATTTATAAATTTCTTGATAAGGTAGTATGTTTACGTTTATTTTGTCTGAAAATATTGAAATATGAATACTTTCAGATCTACTCTCATGTATGAGGAAGTGAATGTATGTCTTATCTTCATAATTCTAGCCGCCTAAGAAGACGACAACGAACAATGCGATTATAAACGTCAAAATGACTTTCTTCCTTAATGGTTCATCTTTTTATGTCTCATACCTTCTTCTCTTCCTATCTTTTAAATATTTATTCATATCATTCTCCGTCTCCTCCTTCTTATACTTCATCAATAGCATTAGCGGCGAGTTCTTATTGAATTATTAATTTTTGATGATCGAAGTGATCTGAGAAGCAATTTCGATTAGCATTAGATATCAAGGCGTCCATTGCAATGATCCAAGAATTGGATATTTTTTATATTCAAATAATTCGAATTTATCACCGGTGAATGATTTTTAGCTCAATAACAAAGTCGTGATTAATGAATATTTTAAAAAATTTTATTAACATGATTCAAATAACTCTAATACGGAGTACTCTTCTGAGTTTCATACACGAGTCACGAGTTGACACGAGTCCGATCACTAGATCCCTAATAAAGTAGATACATAGCTTGTATAATACATTCTAATGAAAACCTAATTTCACATAGGATGATAATAGAAAAGAATTATGAAAAAATATCGTTATACTGATACTTGTATGTTCTCGCTTATGGTAACGTCTTTTCGAAAATCGGAGTACATATGTAACGAAAGAGGCCAATCACGTATTGATGAGCGGGATTTTATTGTGTTACCCAGCAACCTTCGCTTGTGACTAATAAATCAGTGTAAGCATAGATATTGTTTTAAAAACTTGTAAGCAGCGTTATGATCAAGTAATAAAATTCGTTCAATTTTCTTGAAGGTTAATGTGAAAAGGGGATATTTGTGTAAAATTGCGGTTTAATTTTGAATTTTGGTTTCAAAAAGCATTTTTTTTAAAAAAAAAAAAAAAAATTGATCGTTATATTAGGAATACGCATATGCAGTATAATAAAAAATAACGAATAATGTAATTAATATAACCTTATTAAAACACAATAATTATCGTGGTAAATGAAAAAATGAACATATGGGTGGCATGCTATTAAAATTGAGGTACGGATCATATGATTTACTATACCTCGCACATCTCGCCCATATATTTTATGGATATTGTACGGTGTGTTATTTAGAGTAACTTCACGGATTATTACTTCACGGTTCACGATAAGTAATGCATTTGATGTGTGGAATTTTCCATGAAGTGACAAAATATCCAATCATGCATTGTTTACCGTGAACTGTAGTCCTTATTATTTTAAATATTTTTATTTCTTAATTTATTCTTTACAATTAATTATAAATATCATATGTTTTTTTTTCTTTTACAATATTTATCCTAAAATCGCTTGCATTTTTTATTATGTCAAAGTCAACAAAACTCTTTGATAAAGTCAAAAAATTAACAATCTTTTAAAATAAACTTTAAAGTTACATTTATTCGCACGCGCGCAATGATTACTAAATCTATTAATATAAAAATGAGCAATAAACAATCCAGCAATGAACAAAAATAAAAAAATAATCATAATCAGGAAGAAACATCTGAATGAATTTAAGTAATACTTAGTAAATACAATTTAGTTATCATCTATCGGTCAAAACATCTCAAAGTTATTTCGTTTAGAAAGTCTTTAGCCGCTATGCACATTATACATGTATATAAAGTTATAACTATTACATTTAACTTCGCGATTATACATTCTTGCATATACATTAATAAATTTCTTTTATAAATAATAGAAATTATAGTAAATAGAATAATCTAATATTTTTAAAGTATATATTATATAATTGATAGCTTATATGGTAATATTACTAATATTACGATCATAATCTCCGTGACAAATTACTTTACAGTTAAAGTATAATAACCATAAGGCCGTGTAATTAATTAATTATATCAGTTAACGTCACTTCGTGACGTTAACAATGTAAATAATCACCGTACAATATCTATATTATCGTACGGCTCGCAAGATCATGCTTTATAAAAAAAAAAGGTTTATCGAATCCTAAACTTTTTATCAAATCATTTCTTTATTTTCTATTAAACATTAACATTTCTCAAACCAATATGCCATGCGAAACAACATTCATAAAAAAAATTTATTTATTTATTTATTTATTTATTATTATTTTATTAATTTCTAAATAACTAGAAAACAAAAATTATGGTTTTCAAGCAAAATTTGTTAAAATTATTTTTAAAAGAAAGTTATTACCTTTTGTTAAATAATGTCCTTTTTTCACGTGGCTAATTCCCAATTTCTTATAACACAAACTGTTATGATATGATTTTATTTAAATATTAAAGTAAAGCTATCTCTTCTTTTAAAATGAGTTTATTGCTACCAAGTCAAATATCTCATGTAAATCGTTGCAATAAATCAATACTAATTATAAGTGTATTTTTTTAAGTGAAATTTAAGGAAGGCTAATTATTATAGAAATTAATATAAAAAAAATTGTACTATAATTAAATATAAAATTCAATTTGACTAATATTCAATATTGTACGATGATTAGCTATTGATGTTGAATATAAAAACATATTGGTCAAACAACCTCAGCATGATACTATAGGTCGCTCTATAATATATGATTATTTATTATTGGTATCGACTCCGTGTCATCAGCAAGAGAATGGTTAAAGTTTCCATTGGATGAATACTATTTATTTTTTTATCGACTTATAATATAGCTTTTAAAATTCTTTCAACGAAACAGATTTTCTTGTAATTATTAATAAAGTTTGAATATAACAAATAAATGAAAGATGATTTTAAAGAATTATTGAATAAAATCAGAAGGCTATTACTCAATAAATGATAAATAACAAGCAACTAATGCTCTTATGTAATACTTTGCATTTGTTTCAAAAACCTATCACATACAAGAGATTTTTAGTGATTTCAGCAAAAGGATTCTATAATAGAAATATTTTGTAATGTAACAAGTAAAAAATTTGATTCCAATTATTAAATATCAAAATCTTTAGTTTTGGAAGTATATTCTATGAATTAGAAATTATTAATTAATTTGTGAATTGATCGGATATTATTATTAACTATGCTTATACTAACCATAATTAACAGATTCTTTATAATCATTGCTATTAAAATCGATACTTTTAATATTTGCACCTAAACAATAATAAAAAATTAAAAATTTTATCATTATTAAGTTATTATAAATGGTGCAGTTATTTACCGTGTATAGTACTGTCTGAATTGTTTATTATTTTAGGTCCAATATCTGGTGACATTATAATGTTAGTTGGCTCTTTTTCTTCATTTAAAATGAATTTATCAATAAACTCATCAATTATATGAAAATGGTTTGGCCTTTTATTTGGATCAGAATCCCAACATTGTTGCATTAATTCAATACAGCCTTCGGGTGCATTTGTAACTATCGGAGGACGAGCACCATCAATAATGTGAATCATAAGGTCTGTATCATAGGCTTGATCCTCAAAAGGTCTTTTACCATTCATTAATTCCCACATAATCATACCGAAACTATATATATCTGAAGCTTTTGTATATTTTTTCCCTTGAAATATCTCTGGATCAATATAAGGCATGATTCCATAATAATTATTATTATTATCTGATAAATCAGTTGATAATTTACTAATTCCTAAATCACTTATTACAATATCAGATTCATTTTCGATAAGAATATTTCCACTATGAAAATCTCGATGAATAATCTCTTGTTTATGAATAAATTCAAGTTCTATATGTATTAACTTCAAAATATTTAATTTTTTATTCCAATCAAGATTATAAAAATTTGTTCTTATATAATGATATAAATCATATTTATAAAATTTCATAATAATTACAAAATCCTTTGTATCTGAATTTTGAGTAATTCCATAATATCTATTTATATAAAATAAAGATTCAAAGTAACTTTCATTTAAGTCAGCTTTATAAATCATTATAAGCTAAAATTAAAAAAAAAAAAAATTTATATAAAAATTTATTAACCTTAAAAATATAATAATATAATATCATACCTCATTTAATTCCTTTAAAGTAATATTTTTTGAATTATTAAGTTGCTTTAAAGCAACTATAATATTAGAATCATTATATTCAAAATCTTCTTTTTCTTCATTCCAACTAGGTGGACCATTATTCCAAATAGCTTTATAAACTTTACTAAATCCTCCTTCACCAATAATTTCTATCTTTTGAAATTGATTATAAGAAATAAATTTCATTCTACTAGATTCTTGAATAAAATCAATTTGTGTATGTTTAATAAATTCATCAACAATTTTGTTTCCACTTGGTGCATATAATAATTCAGATTGATAACAAATTACACAAATTCTATTATTATTTTGTAAGGATCTTCTTCTTTTAAGACAATTATTACATATATTATAACTTTCATTTTCTGATTCAATAATAAATCCTTTTATTAATGAAATTTTATTAATAATATTATTAAAATAACTTAATTCTTGTATATTAATTTAATCTTTATTTTCAGCAAATTTTAAATACCAATAAAGTGCTTTTTCTAAATTTTTATTAGTTTCATTTTCATATAAGTAGTATATTGCTAATATAAACATTGCTGCAGCATATCCATTTTCTGCAGCCTTTTGATACCAATAAATGGCTTTTTCTAAATTTAATTCAGTTCCTGTACCATTTTCATAACATAATGCTAAATTATGCATTGCATTAACATATCCATTTTCTGCAGCTTTTTGATACCAATAAATGGTTTTTTCTAAATTCAATTCAGTTCCTTTACCATTTTTATAATAAAATGCTAAATTATACATTGCATTAGGTAATCCATCTTCTGCAGCTTTTTGATACCAATAAATGGCTTTTTCTAAATTTAATTCTATTTCTGTACTATTTTCATAACATAATGCTAAATTATGCATTGCATTAACATATCCATTTTCTGCAGCTTTTTGATACCAATAAATGG